CTTTTTGCTGTACTATGCGACGGAACTTAATGCTTTCTGCGTATTTGTTTTTTGTACGATCAAAATGATTAATAAGTGTCAAGCGTATTTCATCGTATGTTAAATCTTCTGGTTGACGCGGGCAGATTAGAAATTTTAGAGCGTTATTTAGTTCTGCGCCCATGTGTACACGTGCATAATTAGCGTATAGATCATTCGTAATCTTACTTAATTGAAGAGCCCAATCGAAACGTTTAAAATAATCTTGTACCGTTGTTCCTTCCGAAGTTCGGTATTCAGTCATTGAGAATGTCGGTATCTTTGTACGAATCAACGATGGTGTTTCCGTCGAATTCGTTGAATTACCTGCGGTTATGTTAGCTGCGGATGCTTGCAATGCACTAGTAAGCATGCTCGTCATCGCCTGTAAAAGCTCTTGCGGAATATCCATCCTTATACGATGTACGACTTCGTCCGTTCGAAACTTAACCTCAGTTTGTACTGCACGTGCTTTTCCGCGTTGTGAATGTTGCTTTCTTTCAACACTTCTGACACCACTTTTGTGTATGTGTGTGGGTTAAGCGTGTGAGGTTCGGTGAGGCAATGAGAAATATGATAATGTTAATGAGCACTTTATTCGGCACGGTTGTTGTGTGCGATATCGTTACAAGAAGTAGCGGGAACGGAAGGTACAGAAGTACGAGTTACGAACGATAGAGAGTGTGTTCGACGGAAGCTTGCTCGTGATTGGTCGAGATATAAAGCGCGTTTTACATAGGTGCGTTCGTGCGAAATAAGTAACTATTGCTAAACGAAATATTACGATTACGGTTTACAGAAAAACATATTCATACATAACAGTTACTACCAAGGCTTGGGAAACAAGCATTTCTGATATGGAAATTCCCACACTAAAATCACTGACTGATTTTCTTTCAAAATGTTCCATCGCGCTGAAGCAATTTCTAGCAAATCCTTAATCAATCAATCTGCAAAATCAAAGAATTCTTCGGTTTCTAATCTCGCGACTTCTAATTTATCTTGTCCTAAATGTAAGGAAAATCATCCGCTTTACTATTATGAAACGTTTCTCAAATTACCAGTAGAAAGCAGAATCGCCTTTGCAAAGAAGGTTCATTTATGTCTAAACTGTTTGAGATCTAATTCTCACCAAGCTAAAAATTGCACTTCAAGTTCTTGTCGCAAATGTAAAGGTCAACACAATACACTTTTACATTTGTCAAAGACAACAGACGCTAACGAGTCGTCTAATGCGAAAGCAGCTGTGACTTCCGATACAGAAACTTCTGCGAAGCCAGTTGCAACACAATGTTTATCTACTTATCAATCTCTAGGAATTATATTATCAACAGCTATTATTCATGTATTTGACTGTAATAATCACATCCATTCGTGTCGCGTATTGTTAGATAGCGGATCACAAATGAATTTCATTAAGCAGAGTCTTGCCGACAAATTGTGCCTCAATAAAAGGCAAATAGAGATATCTATTTCAGATGTAACTAATGCTAACATTCGAGCCAATCAAGCGACAGTCGTTCATATAAAGTCGCGGTTCAACAATTTTAGCGAGAGGATAGAATGCTTTGTTTTGCCAAAAATTACTCAACAATTGCCTCAAAAATTCATTTCCAAGCAGAATATAACTATACCAAATAATTTAAAGTTGGCCGATCCTGATGTTAATGTTCCCGCTGACATTGATATGCTAATCGGCGCTGAGATATTTTGGAGGCTCATTTGCCCAGGTCAAATTAAACCCTCTAGAAATCAACCAACACTGCAGAAAACTCTCTTGGGATGGATTTTATCTGGTCCGACATCAAGTATTCCTACTAACTCCAGTTCTTCAATCATCAGTTGTTTAGCTGTAACAGAAGACTTAAATCATGCTCTCAGTCGTTTCTGGGAATTGGATCATTCGATATCCGCTTCAACTCTTTCTCCAGAGCACCAATCTTGCGAGAATCTATTCAAGGACACTGTCAAACGCAACAGCGATGGACGCTTCGTGGTCCAGCTACCGATCATACCTAACAAGCTATCTGAACTCGGTGAATCAAAGGAAATAGCCACTCGCCGCTTCAAATGTTTAGAGAAACGCTTTGTTACCTCTCCTAAATTACATGCAGAATACAAAGGATTTATACAAGAATACATACAACTTGGTCATATGCGTGAGGTGACTCACATTACAGATAATGACAGCCAAACGTATTACCTATCGCATCATGCCGTATACAAAGAAACGAGTACCTCTACCAAACTAAGAGTGGTTTTTGATGGTTCTTGCAAAACAACCACTGGAATCTCGTTAAATGATGCATTATTGGTAGGCCCCACAATACAAGATGATCTGCTTTCAATATTAATAAGATTTCGTATGTTCAGATATGTCATGACTGCAGATGTGGCAAAGATGTACAGACAAGTTTTAATCGATCCGAATCAAACCTCTCTGCAACGCATTCTTTGGCGTGACTCTTCGGATCAACACATTCAAACATTCGAGCTTCTGACCGTCACGTACGGTACAGCATCTGCTGCTTTCCTAGCCATTAGATCGCTTAGGAAATTAGCTGAGGATAACTCTGAGAAGTATCCCGTTGGATCCAGGACAGTTTTAAACGACTTTTATGTTGATGACTTGGTCACCGGCGCTGACGATTTACAAGATGCTTCCTCCATCAAGATTCAGACAAGGCAATTGCTTCTTGAAGGTGGTTTCGAGCTGCGCAAATGGTTCTCTAATGTACCTGATCTTCAAGACGATCAACTTTCCAATCCTGAAAAGGAATTCGTACTATCATCCGACAAGGAATGCGAAACAAGGACACTGGTCTTGTGTGGAACTGTACCCATGATCACTACCAATTTTCTAGTATCTCCTGTCTACCACCTTTGGCTACGCCTACCAAAAGGCAAGTATTATCAAGAGTCGCTTTGGTTTTTGATCCCCTCGGACTTTTTGAACTTGCGACTGTCATTGCTAAAATCATTATTCAACAACACTGGCTTCTCAAGATTGGCTGGGATGAAGTCCTTCCCTTAGATTTAACCACTAAATGGAAACGCTACGAGCGTGAGTTGCCAATTTTGAGAGACATGACTATTCCACGACGCGCTATCGCGCTAAGTGAACATATCAACTTAGAGCTCCATGGCTTCTCTGACGCCAGTGAACGAGCTTATGGCGCGTGCATCTATTTACGTGCCACTGATGCTCACGGAAACATTTCAATTAGATTGCTCTGCTCTAAAAACCGTGTAGCTCCACTCAAGAGTCTATCAATTCCGCGCTTGGAATTATGCGCAGCCCTCTTGTTGGCTCAGATCACCGACAAGATTTTGAAACGTATTACTCACAAAATTACATCTATTTATCTGTGGACCGACTCCACCATAGTTTTAGCCTGGCTGCAATCATCTAGTCGTACATGGTCGACATTTGTCTCCAATCGTGTTGGCGATATCCAACAATTAACCACTATACAAGACTGGCATCATGTATCCAGTCAGGACAATCCAGCTGATCTCTTATCCAGAGGCATATCTCCGGTTGCATTGCCACATGCGCATCTTTGGTGGTCGGGGCCCTCTTGGCTGGAACTTGACAAGGGGCAATGGCCTCAATTTCCATTCACTATCAACAAACGAGATATACCTGAATACAAATCTTCTG